GGAAATTAAGTGATTTATTGGAGCTTGGATTATTAATTATTCTTGTGGATTTTATTGTGGGAATTTATTCTAAAAGTGTTCTTGGATTTAACTTGGATTTTAACTGTGCTATTCAAAAAGGATCATTCAGGATCAGACTAGACATTAGACTTTACATTTTATTTGGACTTCAGGTATTTGTAAACACAATTTGTTATTTTATTTTTCTTTAATAATTTTTCTGTAATAAATTTGTTATTGTTACAAGTTTGTTGCTGGCTTTTCTTTCTCGTTACGCCTGGCTCGTAACATATAGCTTAACAACCTTTAAATATTTATAAGTTTTACCTCAGCAATGAGTAACTTGACAGGACATTGATTCTATATCTCTTCCGTAGCATTCTCCATCCATGGTGTTAGTTGGATACCAATGTTCGCGTTCACGTGACCTGGTTCCTTCGCCACATGTCGCCGAACATTGCGACCATGCTGACCATTCCAACCAGGTACAATCAGTATAAACTGATTACAAATTAATGGTGAAAAAAAGTGAATATGAGAAAACATCTTTTAGACATAAGTTTATGTATCAACTGACGAAGCTAATAAAACAAAACATGTATTGATATTTAAAATTATGTTGGTTTTGATCTATGTGTCCTATAGACATAAATGACCACATTTTTAATAGCATGAAAACGTTACTGATCTTTTTAAATATCATAAATGATATAAGCATATTTTTGTTTAAAGGTTAAGCTACAGTCTCACTTACATCCCGGCAAAGCCCCGTCAGAGCCCCGGTAAACGTCCGGGTGATCCGGGAACGACCGGGAACAAGCGGGGTACATACATAACTCTGCCGGCAACGTCCTGGATGATCCGGGAACATACGGCATTCGACTCATTCGGATGGAATAAAATATTTAATATCATCGGGGTGGTCAGGGATGATCCCGGAAGATATAGCTATGCCGGCTTCATCCTTAGCTCTGCCGGGAACGACCGGGGTTATATCGGGGAGGCACCGTAGCTCCGCCGGCAGAAACCGGGGATGATCCGGGGTATGATATAGCCGGTAGAGCTACGGTAGAACCCCGGTGAATACTTGTAGAGCCCCGGTGAATATCGACAGAGCCCTGGAGGATGCAGGAAGAGCCCCGGAGGATAACGATGGAGCTACGGTTGATCCCGGTAGAACCCCGGCAAAGTCCGGTTCATTTGCGATGATTGCACTTGTTTGTATTAAAACCCTTCCGATTTCCCTTCTATCCAGTCTTGCATACGGAATTTTCAGAAAATCATCATGAATTACTATTCTGGAACTATATATATTATATTAAATAAAAATTATGTATCAATGTTATCATTTTCGCGCGTTTTCAGTCCACCGGTGTTCTACCGGGGCTCTGCCTGGATCGTCCTGGGCTCTGCCGGGGCTCTGCCTGGATCGACAGGGGCTCTGCCTGGGTCAACCGGGGCTCTTCCGGCGTCATCCTGGAATGACCAGGGAAGCACATGCATGAACCGTAGCTTCACCTCGGCTCTGCCTGGATGATCCGGAGCGCATCCTAGGCGGTTAGTTGGGAATTACCGTAACTACAACTACAACTGCTGCCTGGGTTAGTGTGACCGCAACCATTATTTCATCCAGGATCGTCCCGGATCATCCCGGTTACTTACCGGGATGGTCCTGGGATCTACCGGAGTAAGTGAGACCGCAGCTTTATGATAAAAGCTTTTTTATATTTAAAATAATGAAGACAGACTTAAAATCAAATGATCATTTTTTGGTGTTTTTTTGTTGTTTTTTTTTTTGTTTGTTTGTTTTTTTAATTACAATTTGAAATGCTTCCCTTAAATGTTGCGTGTTGGCTGAATTAGGGGGAAAGTTGTCCGGGTGTACACCATTGAAAATACTGAAAAAAATGTTTCACTGCAGTGCGGAAAATGAAAATATGCATTTTATTTCATAAATATTTCATTCATAAATATATAAGAAGTATAAATCTATTCCTGTGTTATAGACTTCACATTGATTTTTTTTTTTTTTTTTTTTTTTTTTTTTTTTAGTATATTTCTCATTTACATTGACAGAATATCACACTCCCGTGATCTATCTTACCATTTAAAGGCATAAGATGTTGCTGCTCAACCACTCCCTAATTCTAGATACAAATGTATATACAATCTGCATAATATTGTGTTATATGTACATTTAATCCAACAATGCTTAAGCTAAAAGGACAAATATCTATTTTATAATAAATAGCATTAATGTTAAAATGGCAAAAGGTAAAAGTTGCAAACAATCACAAACTACCGGCAGTATATAAACGTATTGAAGTTTGCAAAATTGATTGTCCTCTTAGATCAGGAATAATGAGTACCAATTGCTCGTAACAATCTACCAAAATATTTACCCACCTTCACAATTAATCCCTTACAGCCTGTTGTTTTTTCAGCTTTACCTTTGCACTTGTTAACGTCTGTTTCAACACCAGAAACTAAGCAGAAACGGGTACTTGTCCGAATACCCTTTCCACAGTTTTCGGAGCATTGTAACACGACCCATTCTCCCCAATATGGGTCACCTTCTATAAAACAAATGAGATCAAAGATCGACACAAACCAGCCACAACATCAGGGCGCCCGGAAAACACCGGGAAAGGACAGGGGGAGAGACGTGTAATAAGTGAAATGAAAGGAATTAATAGGGGCCGATACGGGTATAAAAGGGACAAGGCATATAAGGAAAAAGGGGGGGGCGTTTTGTGTTAAATTATCACAAAGTAAATATGCTGAGAGAGGGCGATATTTCAATAAAACTTCTTAATTGTACATAAATCTTTCACAACGCCTCAACGTAATTATTTCTTAACTTGGCTGCTTGGCTCAATAGGGAGAGCATTCGGATTACTAATTCATAAGTCGTTGGTTCGATCTTAGATTGAGACGAAATTTATCCGTAAATTGTTCTTGGTTACTGCATCTAATGGACTGTAATATTCATTTGTCTCTCCTTGGCTGATTCAGATTTCATGTTGGATTAGTATTTGGTCACTTGCGAAGATAATGGTTATTACTGGTTATCAAGAAAAGCCGGTTCTAGGTGGGAAAGACCGACGAAATATTACCAAAAACGGTAAAAACGCAATTCTCAGTAAAATAATTTTTTGTCAATATGAAGATTGAATGAACAAAAGAACCAAATGCTTTATAAAGTTCACATTGTTCTTTGATAGCTGTCTGACAACGACAGTGTCAGTAATAACATTAAGCTGTATTAAAATCAATGGTATTTATGTAATAAGTGAGATAAATGTTTTTCTTCTCAAAGGTAATAAGGTAGAAAAAGTTTGCAAGAAATCAAAAATAAATTTGTTAAACTTGATATATATTAAAGAAATACCTGGACAATCCTGTATATTACACGTTTCATAAGACGTTGACAAACCAATGCAATCAGCTCCAGGGTTTGCTGGATCCGAAAATATACACACCCTGGTCCTTGACCTTTGACTGTCCCCACATGTTGCCCCACAAGCACTCCATTCTCCCCATTCTCCCCACACACCGTCAACTGGAGTTTCTGTAAAATTCATATTATTACTTTTACTATCATCATCATCATTTTTTAATTATTTTTATTATTATTTTTATTATTATTATTATTATTATTATTATTTATTTATTTATTTTTTTATTTATTTATTTATTATTATTATTATTATTATTATTATTATTATGTTTTTATTTATATTATTATTATTATTATTATTATTTAATATTATTATTATTTATTATTATATTATATTATTATTATTATTATTATTATTTATTTATTTATTTATTAATTTACTTATTTATTATTATTATTATTATTATATTATTATTATTATTATTATTATTATTATTATTATTATTATTATTATTATTATTATTATTATTCTAGTAAAGTGTGACACGGGAGTGTACCACCTGCTTTCAATGTTGCACCTGTTTATTTTATCGATGTTGTTAAAGACATTTATACTGAAACGGGTCGGAAGTGATAATTCATAGTAACATTGAAAACACATTTATATCAAAAGATGTCTTTAAACAACTTTCAGTAGATGATAAACTAGTCACATTATTTGATATGTTAACTACTAACTCCCTATATACACGTGTCGAAGATATCGAGCAAAACATGAAATCAGTCTTGAGCCAAAATGATGACCAAAATAAACGTTTAAAGATTCTAGAATATAGAAGTATTGACCAAGAGGCTAGAAGTCGCAGACAAAATCTAATTTTTCGGGGAATCCCAGAACAGAATTTTGAAAATTGTACAATTCAAGTGCAGGCGTTCTTAAACGATCACCTGGATATGGAAACTTCGGACATTTGTATACAAAATGCTCATCGACTAGGCGCATTCGCGCGTGATAAAATTAGGCCAATTATAGTCAGTTTCAGGGACTTGTGCGATATTGAACTCATTCTGTCAAACGCGTACAAATTAAAAGGAAAACCTGATAAAGGAATAAATCGGGACTATCCAAACGAGATTGTGCAAGCGCAAGGCAGACTATGGTCGACATTCAAGGCGGAGAAGGCCAAAAATAAAGTGGGTTCTGTAAAAATAGCAAACTCTGCCAAATTAATAGTAAATCGGAAAGTGATAAAGGACGAATTTCCTGATTGGAATGAAATCATGCAGGACTCTCGGATCCCAACTACACGAGCGCACTCTACAACTAAGAATCACGATCAACCTATGCGGAACGAGAACATTAATGCAACGTCCAATCAACTACCGGTCACTACACATAATCCTTACTCAACATTGATGGAGCACGACTCCCAAAATGATGTCTCGAGCGAAACCGACACCGCCGCTAGTGACGACAGTGTGGACGAGTATAGCAAGTCGATGCTACAGTTCCAAGCCTTACAGGAGAAACAGCCAACACTTATTGCAGGAGGCTCACAGCCTGGCGTGCACGACTCGATTCGAACATAGGTCTCAGGGGGAGATGCCTCGGCTAGAACCGGAAAAAACTGTGACATAAATCAGAGAAAAAATAGTGCTAAAACCTACATGCAGCTATGCAACTAAGATGTATAAGTCTTACCAGGAAATCTAGGGACAAGAAAAAAAATAATCACGGTTATAAACTGATAGATATTTGTAAAAACAATAATTTAGGAAGGTTAGGATCAGATAAAAACATTGGCAATATGACTTTTAGAAATGTTTCAGTCATTGATTATCTAGTATCATCATTAGATGGATACCCACTGTTAAATGACTTCCAAATAACTGACCTTGATAATTTATACTCAGATGGTCACGCGCTGATACAATGCCAAATTAGAACTAAAAGCGTTATGTCAAACAATATTATTAATAAAAATACAAGCAAACCAAAATGGAACAATGAACTTGCAAGTCATTTTGTTAGAAATATAAATACTGAAAATATTATTAAAATAAATAATGAGATTTGTCAAATGTCTGAGCAAAACGATCAAATGTGTTATTAAACAGGTACTTTTAGATCAGAATTATCAAATGTGGCATGAAACTCTACAAAATTCAAGCAAAGGGAGAAATTATTCTATATATAAAGAAAATATATGCCTTGAAAATTATCTATTGACTCTTGATAAGGGAGATTTTATAAATATGATTAAATTTAGAACAGGAAACCATTTTTTCCCGATAGAAATCGGCAGATGGGAAGGTACAGATATCTCTGAGAGAAAATGTTCTCTTTGTAGTTTAAATGACATAGGAGATGAACTCCATTATCTGTTGAAATGCACCTTTTTTGATGACCACAGAAAAAAATATATTAACAGGTATTATTATAGGAATCCAAACATTATAAAATTCAAAATGTTATTAACGAATTCAAGTCCTATGCAATTACAAAAACTTTGTAAATTCATTAAAATACTATTTGAAACAATACGGAGGTAATGTTTGTAACAAATCATGCAATATAATGTTTGTTAGGGAAAAAATGCTTATTTATATTTTTCGAAATTCTGTCCATTGCCATTATCTGTTCATATTAAGACTTCATGTTTGCTTCACGCTGACTATTGTTGTCATCTTTAATATGCTGTATAGAATGTATATTAATGCCATAACATGCAAACTGTATAATAACGCAATATATACTAGTAACCCGATTCTACATCGCAAATCAAATTAATGTTCCCAACCACTTCCCTACCTGTCTAAACATGGCATAAGTCTAAAAAACGCAACACAAATTTATAAATTAATATCATAAGAAAAAGGGTTAAACAATTAGTTTTGCGCAAAATACCTTTTTTCTGTTGACAAGTACGCACATTAATCCGTTTTTGTTTTTGTTTGTACTAGTAAATAAAGACATACTTTCTATAAGCGCGACACACTTTAAGTCTGTCACGATTCGCACGATCTAATTCAAGGTCAACAAATTTGAGCCAATCAGATAAGACTGAAATAGACACGAATGTCAATACTCCTACAACTGTCTATAGTCTGTTTTAAGATTCATACCATTTTCACACCTGTATAAACATACGACTTCACCGTTCGGAATAATTCTCGCATCGCCCCCCCCCCCCCCCCCCCACTCCCCTCATCAATGTACTTATTATAATAACTGAATATTTAAATTTACTGAAAATATCGCTTTATAATACTGTTTGCATACACCACATGTCATGTGTTTTGAAATTTGCATTTACTCTGTAATCTCATATGTCTTTTGATTTGAGATAATAAAGTATTGTTCTGTTCTGTTCTGTTCTGATAATCATTGATGAATAATCAAGACATCCGGGCCATTGTGCATGTAGCGGGCCGATTATCATCAACCGGTGGGAGAAATCTGACTAAAGTTCTGATCTACCTATTTCTTTTATCGACCGTATATGTTTCGCCTTCTTTATAATTTGAATTTCCCGAGAAAGCTATTTCATCCATGCAATCAAACCGGTTTAAACATAGGCATTAGAAGAAGTAATAAAATACCGCTATAGGTGAATGTTTAACAAATTGTTTATTTTTGTTAGAAAAACAAATTACTTGAAAAAATAGAGTCAATTTTAATGGGCAAGATTGTTTTACCAGTTTACCTGTCGGCTATATGGACAACGCAATGTTTGTTCTCGAAAACATGAAATTTACCTTTTCCAAGGGTTGAAGTTATAAACAAAATCGCTTTCAAAATTATGAAAGCTCGCCGATGATTGACTGTGTGAATAGTCACCAAAATAATTTCGTATATGGTCACGCTCAGATTTAAAAGTAGGGCGTTTTTTAGAGCTGACTTTAATCAAATTGCCGGTAAGTAGAATAATCAGTCCATGGGAGTTAACTATTGCGAAACTGATTATGGTGGCAAATAAGATTTATGTGAAATATTATTTTAGATGGTGGAACTCTATCAGAGATATCCATGGATCCATTGGACGTTTCCATTGTCGAATTGAAACGTATTGTTAGGTATATCAATGCTAAAGTGCTAAATAATATGTTTAAAATGGTTTATGCAATCCAATATTCATCTGAGCCGCGTCACGACAAAACCAACATAATGGGTTTGCGACCAGCATAGATCCAGACCAGCCTGCGCATTCGCGCAGTCTGATCAGGATCCATGCTGTTCGCTATCAGTTTCTCTACCTGTTATAGGGTTTGTAAGCGAACAGCATGGATTCTGATCAGACTGCGCGGATGCGCAGGCTGTTCTGGATCCATGCTGGTCGCAAACGCACTATGTTGGTTTTGTCGTGACATGGCTCAATTATAAACAGAGCAGAATGAAGTTGATGAAGGTTGACAAGACATGTGTTTAATTTTACAGTGGTACTAACATTTTTGAAATAGTATAGTTTAAGGATTGATATAGGTAGGTGTATTCATTGACAGGTCGCCAAACGTATATACACTTTTAAAATTTTAAAACAATGTGTTTAACTGTCAAATTATTTGTAACAAAGTAACTATATGGTAGACGTTTAAAAACCCATGATAAATGCGTCTGTTTCCAAAGTCCTTACACATTTAAGGACACAATTTTACGATTAAGTTATATAATTCAGTATGTTTGCCATTGCTATCGAAAATGTATGCAGAAAATAACCAATGTCTTTATTCCATTGATAAGTAATAAAACTAAAGAATACCTGGGCAAGACTGTATATTACACGTTTCCGTTTCAGTCGACACACCCGAACAATTAGCTCCCTTGTTTGCCGGATCTGGAAATATACACTCCCTTGACCTTGACCTTTGACCCTCTCCGCATGTTGCTCCACAATCACTCCATTGTTCCCAATCACCCCACACACCGTCAACTAGGAATTATTAAAATCATCGATCGAAATTAAGAGTTAATGCTGATACGGTTTACTGGATGATGTTTTTTTCTCACGATGCCTTATCCTATTTACTTTTTTCTGACTGATGAAATATCATCTTTGACTAAAATATATCTTATGTCACTTTATGGCCAGTTTGGTTTGCTGGAAATTATACATTCCTTTTTTTCTGTTTACTTAATTCATTACACTATCAGAGATCACGCATAGACTTTTGTCATAAAAGGATATACTTTGTGGGATGGTCTTATTAGTGAATAATATTATCAAGGCTCAGATTTCATTTTGTCAAATCTATTAACATGTCCAGATATATATACTTTCATACACTATATAGAATAAAAATTGTTTTCATAAAAAATTGTTTTGATCTAAAGATGACAAGACATAATTCTGCAGAAAGTTTTAAGTATACATTTTGTATGTTTCAGTCCAGCTAGTCTGCTTATTAAACATAATATTAGGCAATGTGCCATTTGTAAACTGAATTCATAACAAATAACATATTAGGCACTCTTATATTACTTCTCTAACTTTGCAGATTTGTTAAACATTCCAATGAAAACAGTTTAAACACTTGGTTTCAAAAAGTAAATCAAACCAAGAATCGGGACTGGAAATGTAAGTCATATTAGCATAGTAGACCATTTGACTATTGAAATAAGACCAAAAACATTTCGTTTAAATTATTTTCGGTCTTAGTAATAGAGTGGTCTTAAGAAGTTTTTATACTGTGCATTACTTTTATTACGACAAACGAAGCAAGATATTATATTTTAAGCAGATACCTCCAGATCTATTCTAGCTTTCACGACATTTTTGAAAATGTATATGAAAGTTAAATATTGTGAAATAAACAAAAAAGTAATTTACACATTGCAAATGTCACTTACAATCCACGTAAATAAGCAAAAGGAGTTCAAAATACGCCAAAAAAGTATTTACAGTGTGTGTTAGTAATGCAGTAGATATATAGTGATACATGTAAATACTGTAAAATCAGTCATGAATCGCACATATTATGTAACTTTAACTTGAAAAATTTCTAATTATTTCAATACACTTTTCTCATGTTTGATTTTCTTGAAAATATTTTGGTTCATCCGAAGGCTTGCAGCTTTAAGTTAGTTCGTGTTTATTTATCGCTACAGTTCTGTGACGAGTTTAATGTTAATATATCTGAAATGACAAAGAATGTATTTCTGTATGTGACACCTGTAAACAAGCTCAATACTAAAAGAAACGCAGTGAACTCATATAAATTAATGGCAGGTAGAATCTAATGCTGATATATTCCGAGAAAAGAAAATGGTAATAAAGAATACCTGGACAATCCTGTATATTACATATTTCGGTTTCATTCGACACTCCCGAGCAATAAGCTCCCATGTTCGCAGGATCTGGAAATATGCACTCCCTTGTTCTTGACCTTTGACCCTCTCCGCATGTTACCCCGCAGTCACTCCATTGTCCCCAATCTCCCCACACACCGTCAACGCTAACTGCAAAATCAAAAGAAAACATTTATAGGCATATTAAATATAATGTTGGATATATTAATGGACATTAATGTCCTCAATACGTCAGAAATACATGCGTGTGTGTGTGTTTGCAAGTAAACAATGACAAAATAGCAACGGAGATTTCGCAAAGCGCTTTTTTTGTAACATAAAGCAATAACTTATGTAGTGATTTTTTTTTTCAAATAAACATATCCAAAAAAATATGTTATAAAACACGCATGGTTATAATAATAGGGTCACTCTGGGAGTCTCTGAACTCGTTGTTTAACCTTCGTACCTTTAAATTTAAATGCTATGCTAAAACGCATCAGTAATACTTCAGAAAATAAAACATGTCAAAAAAAGCAAACGCAGCCATAGGCATTTATTGTTCTACTTATACCACAAGCATAATGCCTTGTTATGACACTGTATATAAAAATTAAAACCAGTACACATTCGTGTAATTATTGTAAGGGATAAGGACTTTAAAAATCCAAAGAAGGACAATTACATTTCACACACATAGACAGTTATCTAAGGTCAATAATGAAGGGCTTACCTGGGCATGTTCCTAGATTACATGCCATTGTTTCTACATCATCTCCAATACAAGGCAAATCAGTTGTTAGTAGATCTGGAAATATACACGTCCTCGACCTTGACCTTTGACCCAGTTCGCATGAAACACTACAGTCGCCCCAATCGCTCCATTCTGACCAAACTCCATCAACTGTAAAATAAGATTGCTTGATGAACTTGATAATGATTAAAACAATAAAAATTAAAGGAAATCAACTGAGGTCTTAATATCCTAAAGGCATAAAAATGAAATTATTTCATATTTCAACAGATACTGGGAAACTTAAAACGGCAAAATGTGCAAAAGATAATACAATGTATAAGGAATACACTCACAAGGAAATAAGAAATCGTTTATTTATTTATTTATTTATTTATTTATTTATTTATTTATTCATTCATTTATTTATGTATTTATTTATTTATTTTTGATTTATTTATTTATTTATTCTTGTCGTTTTTGTTTTTATGCAATAACGAGTCGGATTTGAATTAAAATCGTTAATTTATTTTTTTTATTCATTTTTATTTTTTATTCATATTTATTTTTCTAATTATTTGTATTATTATCTTTTTTCATGTTATTTAAATTTTTGGGTCATTTTTCACAGTTGAAATAATTACTCTGGTATAAAACGGAATGAGCGGGAAATTTTGCAAGTCTATCCCCACGTGAAATGGTACATAAATCTCGAAACAAGGTTAGCTTTTAAAAAAGCTAGTAGCGACTCGCTTCGTAATTTTTTTTCCAGGGGTGCGTTTAAATGTAAAAATGATAGTTCTGTTAGCTGAAGAGACTTCAGCGAACATCAATATAAAATTGAAATAAAGTTATGGAAGCCAGTTCTCTAAGTTTAACAAAGAGGAATATGAGTATATATGAAGATGCATGTAAACAGATAGAATGAAGTCCCTTTGTCTATGCACATTTACTATATGGCCTGTTGACCTTGATCAGAAAAATCTTAGATTTAGAATTCATAAAGATGTCTCTTTATACGAAGTTAAGTTGTAATATGTTATTTAGTATTGGAATGAGTGACAGACACAAGTCCTAAAGTAAACACAAGTTATCAGAAAAGCCGGGATCCTATTAACAAAAAATATAGGGATCCAAGATTTTGACCAGTCTAAGATATTTTTCAGATAAGCTGGGGTCCTATTAAAATATAAAGAGATCCCAGGAATTGGCCAGTTCAAGAATATAGTTTTCAGAAAAACTGGGATCGCATTAAAATATAAATAGATCCGGGATTTGACCAATTCAAGAATGTAGTCTTTGATTTTTTCCAATTAATTAGGCATATAATTATAAGTATTGGGATTTCGCATTTTAAGTTTGTTAATAAATACCTCTAAATATATTTATATCCTAAGTTTGATTAATTTAACGTTCATTACATACAATAAAAAAACTTAACGTTTAATGTCCTTTCATTACGACAATAATCAACACAAACATAGTTATTAGTTTTTCCTCTATATCTTATACGATCCCGGATCCCGGCCAGTCCGGGCCTCCCGGACCCCGGTCAGTAAATATATACACTAAATACCGATAAAGGATAAAATGACCGGAAAAAAGGAAAAAGAAAAAAATGCACAGAACCAGATGTACACTTATGTTAATTAACCAAACGAAAACTTACTACAGAGGAATAGGTGAGATCGCTAAAACAAGTCAGTGTAAATATGATTTTTTTGAAAAGAATTCATGAAAACAAACATTTTAATCATCATTATATCTTTGCGCTCAAAATAATACTTGCTGCTTTTTAAAAATGGCGTGAAAATTGAAGGTTTTTTTTGACGCTATGTAAGATTAAATTTGATTGGCTAAATAGTTTTGGATCCTAGCCCTGATAGATAAATTCTGTAGAAAGCTGGAAGCCAAGCTTCGATTAAATTTTTGGATGGATTCGGAGTTTAAGGTTGTTTTTCAGTAAAATCCTAACGTAATACCGGCTCGCCGTGGCGAGCCGGCATTAATATCTCGATTATTTGAAAAAAAGAAAACCTCACTGGTGAGCCTTTTCAGTGTTTTGTTTTAGCACCGGGTATTGACACAAGTCGTTACATTGATGAGGGTTCCTAAAGTTTGAACCGTTACAAAATAGTAACTTTCGCAAGTAAACAATACTTTAATTTGTGAGCGTGTTATTGTTTTTCAAAATTGAGTAAATAAATATAAATTTTTGAAAAACCTTTCTCCGTTCCGCTGAATCCGTTATAAAATATACCAAGATTGGTCAAAGTTGAACTTCCCAAGGGATCAAGAAGACTGGCAGCTTTTTTGACATAATGATCTGTTGAAATCCTTGCCTTGTACCAGGAATATCTGCAATAAATAAAGGATATTGAATAAGTGCACGTTCAGTACTGAATTAATTAAACGAGTTGAATAAAATAATAATATTCGAGCGTTCGGCGACACGGCAAGGGAACTAAATGTTTTTTATAATATAACATGGCTTGTTTTCCATATAATGTAACCAACGTTTATTTTTTTTTTTCACGTTAAACAATCGTTATTTTTGAATGTAAAAAATAAAATTTTAAATATTCGGTAGGTTCATTATTTTAACTTTTATTGAAGGGAAACTCTTTTCAATTTAAAATTTATATTATGCCGCGAGAGGCTGAAAATATGTTCTAGTCATCCCCTTTAATGAAGAGTATATAATCTCATTCATTTAATTTTCCCAAATATGTTTTTTAAATTTCTTCATATACCCTTTAAATTTTCCCCCAAAACACTTAAAATTTTTCCCCCTGCCCGGGAATATAAACCCTCATAGTTTAATTTTCCCCCGATCACCCCGGGGGAAACTTTAACCCCAAACCCCCCCGCATTCAGGGGTTTGAAACCCCCTTTGACTAAAAAATTTCTGTGATTCCCGATAGGTCATTGCCCCTTATCAATGAATTCCCGTTTTAACTAGGGGTTTTTGGGGTTTCTTTGGTGATCAAAAGAAAACTGCGTCGGCAAGGCTACTTGTTCGGAATTATCGACACTTTTGCAAGTAACTATGTCTTTAAAGCTAAAGCACTACAGCATATAAAAGCGTCACTAATAAAAGGTTATATAAAAGTCGTCTTGTTTAACAATATATATTTTCAGTTTGGGCAGTTTCTTAATAATAATATTTGTTACAAGCGCCACTTTCATTTACAAATATAGCCATGTACAAGCGGGATATGTATGGTATATTCTCTATATGTGAGCGTGTATAATTTTTCCTAAAGAACAACAACATTAAAATTTTGTATAACTCACCTGAAAACGAATGGCGAAGCCTCTAATCTAGGCAATACTTCTTTCATGAAATTCAGGTTATCGATTTCGTCGTACCCTTCACCCCCGCAAGCAAATTCTTTCAACCATATTGGTAGAGTATAGTTCTGATAAAGACGTTCTAAATGTCTCATCACCTGGTTGGCATTGCACATGTACGTATGTGTAGCAAGAAAATCAATTTGACAAGATGGTGAACGGTTTCCGCACTCTTCAAAGAAACTATAGAACCATTCGTCTCTATTTCCTAAACAGGAAGTGGAATCGCCGCCGCATGGGGCTGCAGATGGACTTACAAGGAGTCTACCGTTTGCTATTGATTCAATATCCGACCATGCAAGGACGGCTTCGTGTGGAGTCATGTTAGACTGTCCTACATGATTGGGCTCATTGTAACCGAGAATATACTCTGCCCCGTCCATTACGTCATTTACATTTATCCTGTCGTCCCAAACCATAGGTACATACGTATCCAGGTAACTAATGTATCTTGATGGACATATTCCAGATAAATATTCAATGTTAGGTTTATACTCATACCTGTAAAAAATATAAGATGTAATGGTTGATTTAGTGGCTTTTATTTGCTAATAGTATTGAAGTAGACATTTTTCTGAATGTGTAGTGTAAATCACCTGGCACTGCTGTTTGGACACCCCATCCCTACCTTGCTCCGGACCTCTGCAAAAAATAATTCAACACTCTAACACAAAACCACCGATAAAATTATAAAAAATCTAAATTATAGTAATAGAAAGGTGAAAAGTCTACATTGTTTGGCAAATGAACATATAGTAGGCTTTTCACCTTTCTATAAGTATAATTTTGCTAGTGGATTTTTAATTTTTTTTATGCAGACTCGGTTTGATGATGTACATGAGGAATAATGAAAATGTGCAACACCAGTAACGCTCTCTAGCACCAACTATACAATTAAGTACCTTTGAAAGATATGACCAGTTGTCGTCTTGTTTCCTTATTTTATATTGTAACAATTACTAAATATGAATAATACTTACAGCTAGCGCTTATATATTTAACACTAACAAATATCTGTTGATTAATATCATAGTCATCTCCGACAAAAAGAAAATTCAAAGATTGGTGATTATTCAAGAATGAACAAGACAGAGCTACTATTCTTCCAGTCAACATTTTTTCAAGTTACCTTGAAATTTGAATTTTGTTTTGAAATTGAATATATACCTTGCATGGCATAACATTGATAGCAAATTCTAATGAACAATATATCTTCTAACGGTGATTTTAATTGTTGCCCATGAATAAGAAAAATAAGCAGTGTAGGAGAAATTTCTCTTAAACTGTTCAGAAAATACACAATAATGTTTCAGGTCATGTGACCCCACATTTGATTTTCATAAATTTTTTTCAATTATGATTCTCTTTAATCGTGCAACATTTAAGGACATTTTGTTCATTAATTTCCTTCTTTGCATTTGTAAGAATGAGGAAACTGCAAGAAACGTCTTTAAATATGAACTTGATTTATATTATGCTTTTCAGTGGATTACTGATTTATTCGTGAAAATTATATTTGATAATTTCACAGTGAAAATCATCAAAATATAATTTCACAATTTTCAATGACGAAACTACTTTTTAAGAATTTCCCCATGTGGTACCTCAATTTTATTTTTGCTGACAATTCTGACAATGTCAGGCTGTTTAAAGAAAAGCAAAGCTGAAATTGATAAATAACTTAATTGTCAAAAGTAATAAAAAGAAGTAAACTTACTTCTATTCATTCAAATTCCAATCACAAAATTTCGTCTCTAATTTTTTTTTTTTCATTTTTACAGTCTGAAAAATACATTCCTTCCACATGTAAAACTGCTCTTGATGACATTTGGGCATATTAAAGTATCCTACGAGCAATAACTGCCGTATGCAGCTTGCTTTATGAAAACTTGAAAAGCAATGACAGCTATCCCCGTAGAATATGTAAACAACCCAGCGTTCATGAGCTAGCCTTTGATTAGTTTGAAGTTTTCCATTAATTTTCCTTGCTGCTATTTGAATGATTCACATCTGTCAACACTTACATTTTGTCTGTTACAATCCTCATATTTTAAAAAGGTGTATTACTAACAAATTAAAATGATATCCCTCTGAATCAAACACAATTATTTTTCCTCCCGTGAAATACACAACTTTGAAAAATGGCCTCTGCTAACATTTAACAAAGCCAGGTCTAATATTGATTCGCAGTTACTGTAAGTAACAGAAAATATGGATGGATGGTTGGACTTTTTCTCGTACAAGAATTGTTTGTTTTTATTATTAAAACAACCGCTCATTCATATTACTTTAATCAAATGAAAATTATCACCGTCATTTAACGTTGATTGTGGAACTAATTTTTTAGCTCAAGATTTCTTGTATTTAATGAGAAATTCCGACTAAATGGGACTCTCAATGGGGAAAACAGATTTTAATATTAACGTTAATATAATGGAAAATTCGTTTTAACTTGTTTTATAGCATAAAATAAAAAGAAAATTTGTTTGTTTGTTGTGTAAGATGAAATTTTATTTCATCTCGTGAATTTAAAAACAGTATTCTCACGTGTGGCGTAGCCACTCGTGAGAATACTGTTTTCAAATTCACGAGATGAAATAAAATTTCATCTTACACACAAACAAACAAATATCCCCTGTGTATATAGTTTTTAGGCAAATCAATGATGCGGTCTTTATAAGTTGTTTTTTTTTTCATAGAATAAAGCTCACGATCTAATAAAATATAAAAAAAATATGAAACCATGTCCGCTAAATCAATAAAGAGCTGCTGAAGTGATGCTCGTATCGTTATTTTAAGTTCGTAAAACGTACATTTTTAAAACAAATATTCTTGTTAATATTTTCATCCCTTTTTGTCCACAATTTAATCTAATTTAATTTAATTTAAGGTATATATTTGGACCACTAGAAATTATGTTTATCGACAATAAGAATCAGAAGTCCTTATATTTCTTTTGTTCTTAAAAGTTATCAAACATGTGTTTAATAAAGTTTAGATAATAGATTTAGAGTATGATGGGTGTTTAATAACTTAAGGAAGTAAAGCACTAATTAACAACAGAGCAAAAGAAGCCAAAAGTTTATCTATGAGGCAAATGTATTATTCTTTTGGAAACTGTTAAAAAGATTCTTATTTAAAACTAAAATTTTCGAGAAATAAAATAATAGCATTTTTGAGACATAAAGGGCCTTTAAGTATTGTCGCTCGTTAAACTATCACTTTTATCTCATACTATGAACTATAATGATAACTCAAAAACTGAATTAAAAATTGTCGCAATGCACTTTAAAAAATCAGCTCTAGTCCAAGCTCTAGCTCAAGAGTAAAGAGTGGTTGTATTGAGTTGAATAAATGGAAAACACTTACCACCAGGCCATGTTGTTTAAAACGTCAAAATCGGTGCATTGAAATTCCTCATGCCAGTGCACAATACCCTTCTTTTGTGACAAAATAGTGCAGAAAACTGACCGTAATGTTACAAAACAAACAACAAATATCCAAGTTCTGAGTCTGAACATTTTGTAGCAACTAATGAATTGAAACAGATGGAAATATTTATACATTTTATATGTCTTAAGAATGGACATTAATCGTATAAATCATGCGAGGGCTGTTAAGAAATATTACCAAACGCAAATCTTACGTAGCATTAGTTTGTAGGTAGGCTACGGCAGTATATAAACAAAATCACTGTACCCTGTCTTGCGAGCCTATTCAATTCAATATGTTCCCTGTCTTGCGAGTCTATACATTTCAATATGTACCCGGTCTTTGCGAGTCTATATAATTCAATACGTAACCTTTCTTGCGAGTCTATACAATTCAATATGTTCCCTGTCTTGCGAGTCTGTACAATTCAATATGTACCCTTTCTTGCGAGTCTATACAATTCATTCTGTACCCTGTCTTGTGAGTCTATACAATTCAATATGTACCCTGACTTGTGAGTCTATACAATTCAATGTGTACCCTTTCTTGCGAATCTATACAATTCAATATGTACCCTTTCTTACAATTCTATACAATTCAATATGTACCTTGTCTTGCGAGTCTATACAATTCATTATGTACCCTGTCTTGCGAGTCTATACAATTCAATTTGTACCCTGTCTTGCGAGTCTATACAATTCAATATGTACCCTGTCTTGCGAGTCTATACAATTCAATATGTACCCTGTCTTGCGAGTCTATACAATTCATGATGTACCCTATCTTGCGAATCTATACAATTCAATATGTACCCTTTCTTACAATTCTATACAATTCAATATGTACCTTAATTGTCTTGCGAGTCTATACAATTCAATTTGTACCCTGTCTTGCGAGTCTATACAATTCAATATGTACCCTGTCTTGTGAGTCTATACAATTCATTTTGTACCCTGTCTTGCGAGTCTATACAATTCATTTTGTACCCAGTCTTGCGAGTCTATACAATTCAGTATGTACCCTATCTTGCGAGCACAAACACATGATACTTCCGATCACTAGTGCCTATATATTTTAACTTGTATCTTTCATGCGAGTACAGGAAGTAGACTGGCTTATATACTGTGGGAGCATGTATGTGAAAACTGATAACCCCATGCTACAAAGATGATGTGTATCCTCAACTGTGTTTTCAGTGACAAGGCATTGGTCATCGCGCACCTGCAAAATGTTTTGTTTTGTTTTTTCTTTATCAATTGTAAATATCTCGTCGACTCGAAAGGAAAATATTTTCTTGTTTTTTGGGGGTTTTTTTTTCTAACAAATCGTTAGAATATCAAAAAAAATAATATTGTAGCGCGCCAAAGACTGACTTTGAAACTTGATATAATATAAAAACAACAAAAAAACGTTTAAAGTTTGATTGCCTAGTTTAATCCTGAAAACGGGATATTGGTTTTTTTTTTAATTGCTCACACTCAGACTCCCAAACAAAAATTTGGGAGCATATTCCAAGCGAGCGATGACGTAGCATATCGTGCACCATCCACTACAGCAATGTTTACTGTAGTAATAACACATTCAGACGTAGCTGTAGCATGACGGCTATCACGAAGCCCATCTTAAATATCAATTATATCCAATGTTTATTAAACTGTGGGATATGATAAGGTACTCTCCACATGCCCTTTGTTTAATTCTGATTTAATATCAGGCACGGCAAAAACGAGCGATCAGTATATGCGTGAACGAGCAGTATATGCGTGAACGAGCAGTATATGCGTGTACGAGCAGTATATGCGTGGTGAACGAGCAGTATAAGCATGAACGAGCAGTATATGCGTGGTGAACGAGCAGTATAAGCATGAACAAGCAGTATATGCGTGAACGAGCAGTATATGCGTGAACGTTGCTTTTGCCTTGTTGATCTTTATTCTCGTATTTTACAATACGCTTTTTAATTTGTCAAATTGAACAACAGTGTACATAACCTTAGTTGCCTCAAGCGAAAGTTATATTTATTGTGAATGGTTATCCCCGATTTCTTCGTGAGCGGAGAGTACTTTTATAGCACGTGCCCAATAAGCATTGAATACGGTAAAAATTAAGACTAGGATATCCCTCGTACAACAGCACACACAGTCATAATTCTTCATAAAATTTATATTTACCCCGGATATTACGTTGAGTCCTTCTTAATGTTGCAAAATGATTTATCGAAGCATACACACCTTTGTACATTTTATAACATACTATATATTTTATAGCCGTCATTTATATCATAATATCAATACAAATATCGTGTTATTTCTACCATGTGGCGCTTAATGTACTAGTAAAATAGACACAAAAACACACATTATGCAAGATATTTACTGAATAATAGGAGAGTCGAAATGTTGCTCTTTAATTTTTCTTAAAGTCAAGAATTTAGTAGAACAATGCCGTTTGTATGTGGTCTGCAATGTCCGCTGGTCAGTCAGTACAAGTTTTTCATTTTCCTACAAAAAATGTGAATGGTAATGACCAAGTTGAAATACAGAGAAAAAGAATCCCTAAAGACAGTTTAAAACGGCAAAGTTCAAAATGTTGCAGGTTCGGTTTGATTGCGCCTATTCAAGGACAGTACTGAAACGACTGAGTATTAAAGATATTTTGCGTGGTATAGGTCAATGCGTTTGAGATAATGCAATATGAAAAAGGTCCAATGACTGAATGACCCAAGTTTATAGAAAGAAAACTATTCAGTTACTTACTGGTACTCGTTTAAAGTACAGTTCGTTTACACGCTTACAGTACTGTTCGTTTACTGATAAATAAAAAAAAAACTTGAGATATTCAGATGCAGAAATTTATTTCAAAAGATTCGACATTATCAGGTCCAATGAACAGCGCCATGTTTTGAATTTAAGAAGGATTGTAGTTGTTATAGAATTCCCCGGGTTCAGTCAGTTCAGTGGTGTACCCTCTAAACAAGCTACCATACGTCCCGATATAGCCAGTGTTGTCCGGAATCCGGGCCATGTACCAAAAGTACCTGAAAAATATAAATGCAATTTTATTAGCAATGTAAAGGGGGAAAATCTTACACTATAATTTTTATGTCTACACATATGCCGCTCCTTTTTGAAAAAAGTTAAGAGACAACAAAATTTTTACACATATTAGGATAATTTTATACTTTTTTGTCTAAGTCTTTTTGTACTAAGAAAACACGCCCGGGGCCTTTCCTTTATGAAGTTCATTTTTTTTTTGTTTGTTTTATGTTTCATTTTTTCGCCTTTTTACAACAGTAAAGCATCATATAACGGGTTTTTCCAACCATCGCTGGGGAAATTAACCCCGTACAGACTACTTTCCTCCGTGCTTAACTACCAAAGCAGCCTCTGGGTATCGAACCCACACCTGAAAGGTAACTGGATTAGAAGTCATCGACTCTTAACCCCTTGACCATGTAGGCGGTCATAGCAATACGTGTTAAGTTTCTAGAATAAGCATAAAGCGGCTAACCCCCTTCTGACAAGGTTTGAACCCACGTGCCATACAGTTTTTATAGTACTAGTCCAACGCAATGATCTCATAGATCGTGATATTACTGACTGAAATAAATAAAGAGTGAATAGTTTTTTCTATAGAATGATATTTAAAAAACTGCAAGAAATATGCAATACTTGATAACGTAGTCAGCTGCTTCAAGTCGTGGTAGTAAATCCTCCATAAACCTCTTTATTCTTCCTTCGTTTCGGTTGTTTACGTTTGGTCTGCAAGCAAATTCCGTGAGCCAAATTGGTCTGTTATATCTATTGTAGAGCATTTCCAGATAGTTCATGACTTTGTCAGCATTGCACCAGTATGTATGTACAGCAAGGTAAGTGACGTTACACGAGCCATTACATAAGAGGAAGAATTCATCCCACCATTCTAGTTCAGTCTGTGCGCAACCCGATCCACATTTTGCGGCGCTAGGTGATATTAAAGGAAGACCGTTTGAATTTGCCTTCAATTCAGACCATATTGCTACAACCTCGGCAGCCGTCCTGTTTGACTGATTTGGATGATTAGGCTCGTTCATACCCATTACAGCAGGCGTTTGCATATCATGGTGACAAGTGTAGTTGTTAATTGGATACACACCCCATATCATAGAAACATAATTATCCGCATAATTGTCGATAACATCAGAACAAATGTCCTTTTCGTGGAAATAAGTTAAATTACATCTCCAGTCATACCTGCAAATTGAAGTCAACCATGTTTAATCCACGGGGGAAGGAACTGTTACACCAAGGATGGAGTTCTTATGATAACTTGCCGGGAAATCTTGTGATAATTGTCACGGAGTTCGTCGGAAAACTCTTGTATATATATGTACTGCAAAATCACTCAAATTGGTCATTATCACAAAAACTTCAGGACAATTGAAAAATCGGGCATTTTAGCCGGGGCTTTATGATTGCAACTTTGCATCATAATTAGATAGATATATTTGTCAGAGATTGATGATCACATATGAGCAGGTCAATAATGTGCGAATTAGCAAATAATTTGGAAATTTTACTAAAAACTACCAGATTTTAAACCAAAGGTTGGTGTTGAAAAAATGGACTATAAATTTGTATTTGACACATAATACAAAATTTAAGACAAGCTTAATCATTAGTGTTTTAATTTAGCACCTTACGCTTATTTTTTTAAAGATGAAAATTACCATTGACGAGCGTTTCTGTAGTATACATAAAAAATTTCCGACGAACTCCGTTACAGTTATAATAAGAACTCCTGCCAGTTATCATAAGAACTCATTTCCTGTGTAACAGGTCTTCCCCCCGTGTAATCATGATGAAGGACTAGTTTATTTTAAATAATAAGCAACGATGAAATAACAAAATCGTCTTTTTTAATAAATGACCAACAAAATTTATTTTGAATATATAATATGCTTAGTTTTGGGGAAAGTTTTGATAAAGTGAGCTTTATTCCAACCTTGCTATATGTTAAAATACCATAAAAAGCAATGTTCACATCAGAATTGTAATATAATTATATAAGCGACGTTGTTTAGTTTAAGCGAATTGCTTACAGACGAATAAAAAAAGGGGAGCGATGGCCTAGTGGTTAAAGTGTCTGCCTCTCAACCAGTGGAACACGACCATGTTTCTTCATATGACACAAGTACAAGTTGGTTCCAGGAAGCGGACTCGAAAGTGGATGTATATATATATTTCGCAATCGAACTTATATAAATGTTTTTAAAACCGATGAAAAAATCATTGAAATAATTAAACTTACGAAAATTTATTTGATGACATACGTGAAATTCAAGAGAAATGTCGCAGAAATTATTTAAAATATCAAAGAATGAACAATTAATACACACCATAAATCAATTCCTTAACAATTAAACGAAGCAAAAGAAAATTCTGTATTTTTAACGTATATTTTGTTTATATTATTTTCATGAATAATTATACAGTACACATCTAAACTGTATGCTGCATAGAAGTTTTGCATAATTTATTTATTCCAAAGTCAAAAATGCATTTTATTCTTTAACTTTTTTCTGTCCACTTCGCTTAGAAATCAAGCAATTTATATCATTGAAAATTAAGTACTTACCAGCAGTTTATGTTGTTAAGGACCTCGAAATCAGAGCAGTTGAAATTATCAGCCCAGTGCGCAACGCATTTCTTTGTCGACGGAACACCTTGAACAAGTTGTTGCGTAGTACCCAAAAACAGTAATGCTATCCATAAATACATGACTGTTGTTGGTTAAAGTGATGAAACAGTGAAAGACAATGACTTTTATATATGTTCCATTTTTACCCTTGGGCAAAAAATTTTGTAAGAGGGGTGATAAAAATGTGTGTACGCATTTCATTGTACAACGTAAAAGAACAACAACGACAACAACAACATTTTTATTGGCATAAATGTTACATGGACATTATATCTATTAACATGAAATAGTGTAAACAGTGGTACAAACATTTAAAATACAAATAAACATAAAAAGTTAGCATAGGAAGCCTAGAATTGAAATTATTGTTGCTAATACAAAAATAAACACATTTGTTAAACTAGTTATCTGCATGTGACTTTGTTGACAGTAAAATGGAGTCATCTACAGTAATAATGTTTTAGATTTTTATTTTCTCAGTTCTGTTTTTTGGGAGAGATTCCAAAAGAAATTGATATTATATGTTCGACTTTTCGCATATTACATACAAAACAGTAATGTTCGAAGTGAAAATATGTTACATATAATTTGATAGATGCAATGATGTCGTTCAATGCTTGCTCTTTAAAAAAAGCTCAAGCAGTTTGGCAGGGTCTATGCTGTTGATATTTCATATTGTTCATTCCCTTATACATTAAATGGACAACCCCCCCGATTTTTAAAGCACATGGTCTATTTCTGTTGAAATTTTAAAAATTGTCAACCCTTTAAAAATTAGAATGGGCTTTTTCCAAAATTTTAAAAACACATGGTCTTACTTTTTCCCCGGTATTTTAAATTTGTCACCCCCCTTAAAAATTAGGGAATTTAATGTTTTCCCCAAAATTTTAAAGCAGGGCAAAATTTTTTACACAAATTCTGGCCAAATTATCCCAGGTTGAAATTTTGTTTCCTTTATTATTTCCAAAACATCTAAAAAAACTGATGGAATTTTAAAATTTTTTTCAATTTTTCTTTTAAACCGTACTTAATTTTAAATCTTTCTCCTTTTAAAATTTTTTTGACCATAGTAAAAATAAACAGTTTTACAAAAAACCCCAAAAAAATTTTTATTATTTTGGGGAAAAATTTAAATTAAAAAAATGTCTTTTATACAAATAATATGGTGTGATTTGGGAAATTTAAAAAAACTTACCAAAAATTTTTCTTTTTAAATTCTGCGTTGTTGAGATTCAAGTGTCGTTTTCAGAACTGTTTACCTCCAATTGCAGCATTTTGGAGCCTTTCATCGACAAGAAAAAGTAATCTTTGGTGAGTTTAGAATCAAGGAAATACATTGCGACTATTTGTTTACAAACACTTAATGAACTATACAGTATAGAAAAATTCTAACTCAGTTGAAAAGTCATGCTACATAGTATATATCTTAATAAATTTATATGGAGACTAATGCCAATGACAAATAGGTATATTGTGTTCCCAAAAGGATTATAACCTTAAGTTATAGGCTAGATAACAAAATGTTCCGTTAGTTCATGGACAATTATTTTTCCACACGAGCTAAATAGATATTTGTAAAATGTAGATAAAAGCTGTCAAATTTCTGCCAAGCTTTAGTCTATATTTCATCAGAATTTTAGAAAGGATAATTTCCGAAATCATAACATGCCACTTGTATCATAAAACCTTGAGAGCACAGTAGTAAATTGCTAAATTATGTAATAAGTAAATTTAAACCATTCGGATCACCTCACCTCGCCGACTGAATTATAGGCAGGAAAATTTTCTCCGACGAAAGTAACTGTTCCCATTCTATGCAATACATATTTCTGAACTTTACAGTCAATCCACAACGACAAACAAGCAGCTGCTTTACAAAACGTACGATAACACTATTTCAATTATCAGGGAAAAAAACAAGATAAGAAACGACTGCGTACTGTTGAAGATATCGTACAAAAAAACAATTAATATATATATTAAGACAAATATATTACTTGTACGATATTAATCTGTTTTGTCATGACGGATGATTCCCTGAAAGAAATAATACAATCTAGATAAGTAAAGATTAGAAAAAAATGCCGTCTTATTCCACATTCTATGATATATCATTGATATGTTATTGTACTTCATCTTAATGTTTGAAAACAATTGAATACGTCTTTGTCAAATGATATGGTCATAGATATATAAAATAACGTGTATATTTATACTCTGTCTTTGAAAAGATATGGTTAATAAACGCTTCTGCCTCTGGCAACAGTTTCAAATGTCATCCCTGATACCGAGGGACAACAGTTTTGACTGTTCCACAAATACCCATCAAATAACTGTATAATCTTTTATAAACGTCATGCGAATAATAACAATACCAATAATGACACGTAAACACTTCCAGCTCTCAATGAATATACCGGGGCTTCCGTCGAGTGGTTAAGGTCGTTCAATTCAAAATTACTTGCCCCTCACCGGTCGCTGTTGGTTCGAATCTCGACAAGGACTTTGGGTTCTTTCATGCGAAGAAGCTTTCAAGCTAGCTTACAGAACGTCGGTGGTTCTACTCAGGTGCCCGTCCGTGCCTGAAATAATGAAGGGCACAAGACGTCTTGCTCCATCAGTAAATCTTTAAAAGTCGCCGGATGACCTATACTGTGTTGATGCTTTTGGTGTTGGCAGATTTTTACTAAAACAGAGAAAAACATTGCTCATTTCTGCGAAAAACCGCAATTGTTCAGTAAAATGTGTAGTCACCTTTTCAAGAAAGTTGAAACAATCATCATTTACTTAATGTTCTTGTTTGTAGCGAAAACAAGTGAGTTATGATATAAAGATAATTTTAATATTTAAAATTGAGCAATATAACATTTAGTATTTTTAACATTTTAATTTTCGTGTTTTACATGTATTATGTGATAAAGAATTATAATAAATCTGTCATTTATATATTCAGTTGCAAAGAACGAGGAATATTTGCGCCTCGATAATTGTGAGAAACTTCACTACCATATATATTTGTCTTATCTTAAAAATTCATTTCACATTATACATATTTAAGGGTAATTAGAAATAATTCACTTAATTATACGATATTTTAACTCTTTTTTTTTTTCAAAAATCAAAATAATAAAAATTTGAAAAATAGTCTGATAGTCAAATAATTATGGCAATTCCGATAGGATATTTTACCAACATTATCTATTATTCCACCGGGGATTTCATTTCTTTTCTTTTTTCAAAATCTTTAAAATCAATATTTCAAAAATATTGATAATAAAATTTTGGCTGCGGGTGACTTTCTAATTTAACAAAAAAAAAAATAATCATAAAATTCCGTTTTGAAAACTGGACAAAATCCGAAGGGATTATTAATATATCGTCACCTAAGAAGTAAAAGGTCGTAAGTGCATTTTTCATAATTTTCAGGAACAGAGTTTAAAGGTTTATACCTGTCTAAAAAGAATCAAAACTTGAATTCAGAGAACACCAATTATTCTTATGTTAGATGTTATTATATCATCTTTATTTTCTTATATACAAACATACAAAATATCTAATCAATCAATCAATATCATCAATACTGTACATACGCCCTTTTTCTCCTACTACTTTTTGCTAAAGACATTAGAATGAAAAGGTTGCATATGGCAAATATGACCTTATGCCGCCGAGGGATTTTAAGTTAATAGAATAACTGATCATTCATATAAGGTAGTATTTGACAAATACTACCCTTTCATTCTGAACAAATACACAAAACTTACACATACTAAGGGTGACATATGACACATCTGACCTTATACCACTTACTTTTTTTTTGAAATCGTGCACATTCACTATAAAATTGAAAACAATTATTCCTTTTGAAAATACAATGTACATTGAATATATTTGTTCTTCATATATGTATTTAGAATAATGGGTCACAATCACTAAAATGGCATAAACAGTCCTATAAGCAGTGGAATGAAATTATATAACCGTTTGAAAGTGTTCAAGTATTAAATGATAAAGGCGTAAAATCCATGCAAGATTTCAAGGGTAACAAAAATTAAACTTTTACAGTTCCGCCATCATATCATCACATAATCACGATTGTCTGTTTTAAGATGCCATCCTTATACATCCCAATTTTTTAACATAAAATCAATCAGAGATTTTTCTCACTTAAATTTCTATACATGTATAAAACACATACTTTTTAATTCGTCTGTTACAATGTTAGCAGTTATTGTAAATTGTTCACCAAAATTTTCAGGAAGGAAGTCTTTGTTGCTTTTGTTTGTTGGTAAGCTAGCAATACATGAGTGGAACTCTTCGGGAATAATTTCTCTCGTGCAAAGAAATTCTCACATTATATCTGTTTATATTTCGATTCCTTTACCGGGACATATCCTTCTGAACTACACCAATCCTTGTAGAGTTGCCACTTACGCTTTATCATGGGCTACATATTGTTTCTTAGAACTTTTTCTAGCGTAGTAATTTTTTATATGTTCGTACACGAATTTCACTCTTGCATCATTGATTTGTGTACTAGGTGTGTGCCTACCCCTCAAATCTGTTCCTTGAAATGTACCATTTGTTTTTCTTTTAAGAGTGTACTGGTACATCAGCTTCTCACCAATATAGAGAGTTTTAAGAAAGAACTTCTGGCAAACACAGATGCTTTCTTCTCTTATGAAAAAACTGTATTTCAACGATACTTTTCTTTTACTTTTAGTGCTTCTAGCCGGGTTGCTTTTCGCAAATAAAACAACGTAGCCTCTCATAAGTTGGAAGTGCTCATAATGCTTATATCTCTTTCAAAAACATCAGTTTGATTCTTGCTTTATGATATACTTGTCAAGAAAGATAAGTATGTCCTTATTTTGTTGAATGTGATCACATAGCGAATTTCGAAAAGTATCTATGTCCTTACATAAATTGTTGTTAACACTCTCAGCAACAGCTGCAAAGAAACAGTTTCATTCTGCAGGAATTTAAACTTGTTTTCTTATATTTACTGCTAACAGATGATCTAATCTAGCCTGATGCAGTCGATTTAACCGTGCCTTAAGTGATGCAATTGTCTTGCTACACTTCACTGCTTTTTTTAAAT